TTTTTTTGAGACAAAGTTTCAGTCTTGTTGTCCAGGCTGGAGTGCAATGGCCTGATCTTGGCTCCCTGCAACCTCCGCCTTCTGGGTTCAAGTGATTCTCCTGCCTCAGCCTCCAAGTATCTGGAACCACAGGCACCCGCCACCATGCCTGGCTAATTTTTCTATTTTTAGTGGAGACAGGATTTGTTATCTTGGCCAGGCTGGTCAACATAACCTCAGGTCATCCACCTGTCTCAGCCTCCCAGAGTGCTGGGATTTCAGGTGTGAGCCACCATACCTGGCCTTTTTCTTTTTAAAGGTATTTTTCTGATTTGCATAGGTGTCCTTTGAATATGACTTGTTCAGGTGAATACAGCAGGGTGACTGGTACAGAGCAATAAGTATACCCTTGGTAGAGTATATGATAGCCTTTAAGATAGCTTAAATTTTAACAGGGCTTTTATATGATCAAGGACCTTGCTTTTAGAAGTGTCTCATTTTGTACTACATGTGACATAGGTAAGTAGGGAAGACGTTATTTCTGAGCCATCATGTAACATTTGGCTCTATCAAGATAAGTTAAGTCCACAGACTCAGGCATGGAATAGAACTCAGGTCTCCTGATTCTTGGCTGAGGAGTTCTCTGGTTACCATCACTTCTCCCCCTTGATTTCAAGCCTCCGTAATTATAGAATGAAGCAAAACCCTGCTTTCTCTGAGAATTTCACATCCTCCTCTCTTCCATTCACTAACAAGTTTTTATGACTCAGTTTAGATCAGATGACCAAACTCTAATCTAAAGTTGTTGTATATGTTATAAACTCTTAAATCTTTAAGAGTTGGTATTTTTTACCTGTTTAATGGATGTGTAAATATTACCTAATTCAGAAAATGACATGGAGATTAATTCAGCAATTAGTATAAAGCCTTTAGGATAGTGCCTAGCAAATAGTAATTACTCAATAAGTGTTAGCTCTTGTCATGGTAACTGCTATAATTAAGGATACTTTCTGCCTTTGCTGTCATATACTCCTTAGGAAAGCCACTTCCGTTTTTAAACTTCAGGTTACTCAAGTTTATTCATCTGAAAAATAGAAGAGTATAGCTAATGATTGTGAACAAACCTTCCTTTGCTAACATTCTAAAGTCTTGGGATTTTTCTTTACAGCAATTCGACCAATGAGGGGATGAATGTTAAGAAATGCTGCAAGGGGTTCTGCATTGATATTCTGAAGAAGCTTTCCAGAACTGTGAAGTTTACTTACGACCTCTACCTGGTGACCAATGGGAAGCATGGCAAGAAAGTTAACAATGTGTGGAATGGAATGATTGGTGAAGTAAGTTATCTTTTCATCCCTGGGCTCTCATTCAGACAAAGGGCCTGCAGTCCTCAAGAATGTTGGCAGGAAAAGTAAAGGTACTGTTGCTTTTTTTTTTTCCTCTTGCATCCAGGTGGTCTATCAACGGGCAGTCATGGCGGTTGGCTCGCTCACCATCAACGAGGAACGTTCTGAAGTGGTGGATTTCTCTGTGCCCTTTGTGGAAACGGGAATCAGTGTCATGGTTTCAAGAAGTAATGGCACCGTCTCACCTTCTGCTTTTCTAGGTGTGTGAATTTCATAGTGACTGTTGCTTTTCTATAAGGAATTGTAGGAATTCTTGTTTGCTCAGACGATGGGACCAGACAGAAACCTGTTCAGTTCTGTTTGGCCATAGGAGCATATATCAGAGGATGCTGCATTTGAATTATCCTATGAGAGGGTTAGGCTTTGTGTCCCCATCCAAATCTTATCTTGAATTGAAATCCCCAGGTATTGAGGGAGAGACCTGGTGAGTGGTGATGAGATCATGGGGATGGTTTCTTCCATGCTGTTCTTGTGATAGGGAGTGAGTTTTCACAACATCTGATGGTTTAATAAGGGGCACTTCCCCATTTGCTTCACGTCTCTCACTTGCTGCCATGTAAGATTTGACTGCTTCCCCTTCTGCCATGATTGTAAGTTTCCTGAGGACTCCCGAGCCATGTGGAACTGTGAGTCAATTAAACCTCTAACCTTTATAAATTACCCAGTCTCAACAGTTTTCTTTTTTTGAAATGGAGTCTGTTAGCTCTGTTGCCCAGGCTTGAGTGCAATAGTGCAGTCTCAGCTCACTGCAGCCTCTGCTTCCTGGGTTCAAGTGATTCTCCTACCTCAGCCTCCCCAGTAGCTGGGATTACAGGTGCCTACCACCATCCCTGGCTAATTTTTGTGTAGAGACGGGATGTCACCATGTTGGCCAAACTGCTATCAAACTCCTGACCTCAAGTGATCCTCAGGCGGTTCGTTATAGCAGTGTGACAGTGGCCTAATGCATCCTAATTGACTCCCCTGCACCCCCATTTCATATCTTTCATTTGCCTTAAACTTGGAAAAAGCTACTGAAAAAAATATGATCACATATTCAGATACCGGTCTTGACTCTGTAAAATGTAAATTAATAGATATATTGCTTGCAGTCTTGAAAACATTTTAAAAATAAACCTGTCTGTCCACAGTTAATTTAAACCAGTTCATAAACCTTTATTCAGCATCTACATATCCCTCCTCCATCACACAAAGAACGGTAGTCATTTGTTTGCTAGATATAAGACTGAAACTAATGATGACTGCCCAATGATTTATGCCAGTATTCTGCTAAACAAAATAAAAGTAGTCTGAAAAGTATATGCTGATTTAAAAGTAATGGAATCATATTTTAAATATGACTACCTATTAAGCCAAATAGTTTGTAAAGAAGGAAATTCTTTTGATTTTTTAACCATTTCATAAATTTCTGTTTTTACATAAAAGTGTTTTTTTTTAATCAAGGAGCTATATTTTCTATTCTGTGCTCTTCTCTAGCAATTTGACTATATTGGGTAGCCTGGCTAGAGTAGTTGAAACTTCACAGAACATAGTGAAACATTATTTTTTTCTTTAAAGGAAAGTGTTGTATTAACTGTTTGGTTATCATAAATGACTTTTGACAGTAACTATCTTCTTGAATATCATGAAATTCAGATAAATAATTTCCCCTTGGCACTCCCATATAAGTGGGTTTGCCCCGAATTAGGGAAGGTTAAGACAAGCCTGAATCTCTGTAGGAAAACTGTAGGAGTGGGGCAAAATATTACATATTTAATTTTTTAAAAAATTTCAGGCCGGGCGCGGTGGCTCATGCCTATAATCCCAGCACTTTGGGAGGCCGAGGCGGGTGGATCACGAGGTCAAGAGATCGAGACCATCCTGGTCAAAATGGTGAAACTCCGTCTCTACTGAAAATCCAAAAAAATTAGCTGGGCATGGTGGCGCGTGCCTGTAATCCCAGCTACTCAGGAGGCTGAGGCAGGAGAATTGCCTGAACCCAGGAGGCGGAGGTTGCGGTGAGCCAAGATTGTGCCATTGCACTCCAGCCTGGGTAACAAGAGCGAAACTCCACCTCAAAAAAAAAAAAAATTTCAATAGCTCAGGGGCACAAGTGGTTTTTGGTTCCATGGATGAATTATATAGTGGTGAAGTCTGGGCCTTCAGTGTACCTGTCACCTAGACAGTGTACATTGTAGGTAATTTTTCATCATTTATCTCCCTTCCTTTCTCTCCCTTTCTAAGTCTCCAGTTTCCATTATACCACTTGTGTGCTTTTTCATACCCATAGCGTAGCTCTCACTTGTAAAGTGAGGACATGGAGTATTAGATTTTTCATTCCTGAAAAATCCATCCACTAGTTCACATCTTTCATTTATTTTAAACTTAGAAAGAGCTACTGAAAAAAATATGATTACATATTCAGATACTGGTCTTGACTCTGTAGAATGTAAATTAAGAGCTCTATTGCTTAGAGTCTTGAAAACATATTTAAAAGAACTTGTCAGTCCACAGTTAATTCAAATCAGCCCATAAACATGTATTCAGCATCTACATACCCATCATCCATCCCACAAAGAATGACAGTCATTTGTTTGCTAGATGACTAGCAAATATTTAGGATGATGGCCTCCAGTTTCATCCAAGTTGCGTAAAAAACATTGTGTCATTCTTTTTTATGGCTGAGTAGTATTCCATGGTATATATATACCACATTTTCTTTATGCAATCATCAGTTGATAGGCACATAGGTTGATTCCATATCTTTGCAATTGTGAGTTGTGCTGTGATAAACATATGTGTGCAGGTGTCTTTTTGACATAGTGATTTCTTTTCCTTTGGATAGATACCCAGTAATGAAATTGCTGGATCTACTTTTAGTTCTTTGAGAAATCTCCACACTGGGAAAACCGTTATATTAAGGTCAACTACTTTCTTATATTTTTCCAGAGACAAAAATCTGTTATCTACTAAAGCAAATTGTAAATTGGAACCAATTTGTGGACACCAACTCCAAACTCATTGTCTTATTCTTCTGCTGTCTTCATTTATATGTAATGTTATCATCCAATGAAACTTTTATGCTTCATTCTCTTCAGTGAAATATTGACCAACAGGATTTTGGATACTGCCTTGCATTCAGAGCCCTATGGATTTACTGTCTTCATTTTTGATAATCCATTTAAGCTATTAAAATCCTTGGCACTCTCTGGATTTGATTTTGCACTTGTTGCTTCCATTTTTGTAACCTTTGTTGGAGTAATGTGGACACTGACTAATACACACGTCATTATGTTCTTTTTGTCCCTCTGACATGGATTCAGATACTCATATCTGATAAGAGAGCCTCTCTATGCAACCAGCTGATATTGACAACACATGCAGAATCTTAATAATTCTTAGATGGACATTCACTCTTTAGTCATTCCTAGTAATGTTTCCCCTCATTACCTTTCAGACTCTTTGGCAGGAATCCTTTGCCCTGGAGGTTAGAAAGGGTTGGGGGAAGTGAGTTCATGGAACAAAATGGAAAGAAATTGTTTCTTTTCAAAATAAGAAAACAATTGGGTCACTTTAGTGAGCTAGAGAGAACTCTTTTTCCAATTCCATCAGAAAGAAAAAAATATCAATTGGCTTGTCTTATGAAAATGGTTCCCTGATATTGAATCTGGCGTCAACCCAGTTTCTCTAGATTTTTATCTTACTTGCATTTGTAAAACATTTCCATAAAAAAGTTGAGTATGTTGCTAAATTTAGCACAACCTCCTTTCCTCCATACTTTTCCTGCTGCATTATTAAAAGTAAAATAAAGTAAAATAAATTGTAACCAGAGGAAACTATTTTCAAAGCTGTTTTTACACAGTAGGCTTAATATTTTTCCTAGTCACTAAGTTACATCCCTATTTGATTGTGCACCCCCTTATTTATGGTCATTTTCTGCAGATTTTGAAAGTCATAATGAACCATGCTAAGCCACATTTTTCCATTCACTGGCTCAGTCATCTGAAAGAGCCAAAACATTCAAAATCTGATTGTGTTGCTCTTCATTATTTCCTCTTCTCTCTCCTCCGCAAACTCCATTAACTCACATCAGAAGCACTTGCAGGTAATGCCTTTAAACTTTTGTGTAAAAATGTAACCAGTGGCTCTTCAAGGACAGAGATGGCATCTCCTGCAATATTTCCATCTAGTTAATTCTGAAGACTTTCCAAAAATGTTGGATTCTTTGATCCAAAGAAATGCTGACCTGGTATCTCCTCGATTGCAGTTCCTTCATGGATGAAAGTTGCATCTGTTTTAAGCCATTAGAGGATGTAATAGAGAGGTATTTAAACTATTTCTGGGTCACTCCTTAGACACTATAGACAGTGCTTTAACTCTGTTCTAATGTTATTGGTTTTTCTTGTTTGTTTGTTGTTTGTTTTAATTCTGGGAGTGTGTGTGCACACATGGCATGCACATGTGTCATGTCTGAGAATAGTAACCCTTCGGGGCACTCATAGGTACTTGTTTTACTAAAACCAGACTACGCAGCAGAGTCCTTTGATCTGTGCTGTGCTTACAAGTTAAGGAACAGATGTGGTCAATTCCAAATAGGGAGACATTTGGGATCCATTGCTTCATCAGTTTCCACTTGATTTTCTGACTGGCGTGTTAGTAAAAAGGATGCACCTGCCAAAAAAAGTTCACTGCAGGTTTACAGATTCTGACATGTGCATAGGATAATTCAGTTATGTTCCCTTCTAATATTTAAAAATAATATTTTCATAGCCTTCAGAGAAATAGAAGTTACCCAATTAATGCGCTTTTTCAAAAACCAGCATGCCCTTTTCAGTACCATGGACAGCATATTGCTCCGTATTTCTTGCTTTAATCCTGCAATCAAACAGCTATTCCATTCAATATATTGTCTGTATGTTGTGTGCCTTGCACACGAACAGACACTTTCATGTAAGTGCTCATTTACTCATCATAGTGATCCTCCTCTGATAAGACACACCATGCAGCTCGGAGAATTACTTTATTCTTGAATATGAAGTACTTTTAAATCTCCTAATCATTTATTTATCTAACTTCCTTTTTGGATACAACTCATTATTAAAGTGCTGTGATTTCAGGGACATAATATTGTTTATTACTATTTCAATTGCAATCTCATTGATTTATTGGAGCGCATCTTACGTTACTGAAGTGAGTTGTGTTACCTGTTGCTTTTTAATATGTTTGCACTATCAAACTGCATTCGAAATAATTTCTTCCAGCTTTTAAATCATCCAATATAGCTAAAGTTCAGACATATTAATTTCTTATTAAACAGTAAGCTCATTAAATTGGAATTTGTGATGACCTCTAGCTGTGCTAAGTAGTCATACTCTAATCAGAAGGTGGCCTGCAATCAACCTAGTTTTTATTATTATAAGTAACTTCATTAGGAAAGCAATTTAAAAATAATAATGTGTTTACTCTTCAAGAGGTATTCTTGGACTTATTTTAACCCTCAGAAAATATTTGCTTATGAGGAAAAGGGTTTTAAGTTCATTGGTGTCTATGGGCAGTTTCTTCCCCATGATACATTTTGGTGGAGATGTATTCATTTTTAAAATTTACTTTCTGTAGATTTTGTAGCAAATGTATACCATTAAGGAATAAAAGGACTTCTGTCAGCTAATTTTCATATCCTCAATCAAGTTGAATAGATGTCTTAAATTATTTTACATAATATTTCTTACCTTTCTAGAGTGTTCTACAGCCTAGAGCCTTATGACTTGGCCTGCCCTTCTGAGATAACCACTACTGCCTAAGTCACATGCAAATGAGCTGACTAAAACTACTTTTAGTGGAAAAACCATCTATCCATCTAATATTTTATTGCCTCTACCCTTTAAGTGATGACTTTTTATTGAATTATTATGTGAAGGTAATATCCTCAATAGACTTTCAATTGAATTTAAGGCTGCTACCAACATCAACAAGATTAATAAAGCTGTAGCAGTCTCATCTGTCTCAAGCAAAAGGTGAAATGGAGAGTGTGATAGTTATAACTTTCTAATATTTCTGTCACCCATGATTTTATAATTCTTTTCCAACAGGTTATAATTCTCCCTTTATTTTTAGAATTCCCTGCATATCATCTTTCTAGCATGAAAAAATAAAAACTGTAATGATTTGCAGGAGCCTATGGTTAACTATTTGGGTATAATCTTCCTTTTTAGCTTTAGCCTGCTGGATAGCTCTGTAATTACGAAGGAACCTGTGGCATGTTTATTTGCATTCTAACTTTCTCCCTTTTCTTATCACTCTTTTTGTTCTGATTATCCTTGACCTAATTTGTAAAATGTCTTCTGCTCTTCTCTATATTTATGATATTATCTGTAGTCTTATAAAATATCTCTAATATTTTGTAGAATAAAGAATAATTTAAATTGAAGAATAAGAAATGGCTGGCTGGCCGGGTGTGGTGGCTCACGCCTATAATCCTAGCACTTTGAGAGGCTGAGGTTGGTGGATCACCTGAGGTCAGGAGTTCAAGACCAGCCTGGGCAACATGGTGAAACTCCACCTCAACTAAAAATACAAAAATTAGCCAGGCATGGTGGCACATGCCTGTAGTCCCAGCTACTCAAAAGGCTGAGGCAAGAGAATTGCTTGAACCCAGGAGAGAGAGGTTGCAGCGAGCAGAGATCCTGTCACTGCACTCCAGCCGGGTGCCGGGTGACACAGTGAGTGAAACCCTGCAAAAAAAAAAAAAAAAAAAAAAGAAGCGAAAATGACTAGCTTCTTTTGAAGGATCAGATTCAAATTAGAGAAAATATTTTTGGTGAGCTTGCAAATGGATGTCTGGGCTTCCTGCTGGAAGTAAGGAAAAGATACCTGATCACGTTTCCATTCCTCCATCTATTTATTTGCAGAACCATTCAGCGCCTCTGTCTGGGTGATGATGTTTGTGATGCTGCTCATTGTTTCTGCCATAGCTGTTTTTGTCTTTGAATACTTCAGCCCTGTTGGATACAACAGAAATTTAGCCAAAGGGAAAGGTAAGGACTCCTTTATAAGCATGATTCAATATTGATGCTATTTCATTTGCCTTTAATGAAATTTTCAGTTTTAGAATACTCTAGGCCAGGCATGGTGGCTCATGCCTATAATCCCAGCACTTTGGGAGGCTAAGGTGGGTGGATCACTTGAGGTCAGGAGTTCGGGGCCAGCCTGACCAATATGGTGAAACCCCATCTCTACTAAAAATACAAAAATTAACTGGATGTGGTGGTGCACACCTGTAATCCCAGCTACTCAGGAGGCTGAGGCAGGAGAATTGCTTGAAACAGGGAGGCAGAGGTTACAGTAAGTCGAGATTGTGCCACTGCACTCTAGCCTGAGCAACAGAGCAAGAATCCATTAAAAAAAAATACGTTACTCTATACTGCCTTGATGTACCATTGTATGAATGGTGTTGGGTCATTGATATTACTTGTAATGCTAGACAAGTATGGTTTCTTTACTTCAACTGAAGGATAAAATGAAATGAAATAATTTAATCTTGTTATAACCTGAAGTCAATAGTTGTTAGGTGAAAGCCATTGGTGTTCAATTTCTTGGGAAAGCAGATTTGAAGGAGCTTTTCTGGCAATTAATTTTAGAAAATGCATGTCAAAAGAAATGCTAAAATTGTAATGGGTTTCAACTTCAGTCTATGCAAAGAAAATGATATTATAAAATCTAGTTTAAGAACATTTCTCAAACTACTGAATCAATTTACATTAGTTTGACGATAAATATAACTATAAAGTAATATCTTTCCTCATAGAGTTATATTTTCCTCTTGGTGGTGCCAAGAGGAAATCAAGTGCACTAAGATCAAGTGCATTGTTCTTAGTACATTGAAGGGACAATAAAGGGACAATCAGTAGATAAGAAATTGAATTGGGAGGCATTTGTTGGCTATAACTCATTAAAAGGATCCCACTCTAGCCAGGGTTTATGTCATACACATGAACACATTACACCATTTTGAGTGGGCTTTCCTCAGTGGGCACTACCTTCTAAGTGGGCGTTATCAGAAAAGTGTCAGGGCCAAATCTCTTTCCCCAAAAAATGACTTCATATGGTAGAGGATAGAACTTAAAGTCTCATATCCCCCAGAAAGCAGAGCACTTTAATGTGATTGATACATATTCTTTTCACTTGGATGTTTTAATATTGCCAACAGTCAACAGGTCATGGGAATCTATTAGGAACCTAGTTTTACTGAAATCTTTCAACTTCTTCCTCACCATTGAAGAGTGGTGATCACCACATAAACCATCCTCAATCAACCAAATATTAATAATTCCATAAATAATCTTGTGTTTAATGGGAGATTGCAAACCTTCATTTAAAGGGTAATTAAACCACTAAGAACATTTCCATCAGAGTGGAATCTGAGATAGTTTCTGTGAGTGACCATACTGTGGTAGAGTAGATCTTTACATTTGGGTAATCAGGGCTTGTGCTGTTGTGAATTTACACATTTATCTGATGAATATTTATTGAGTGGGTACTATGTGCCAGGAGGCACTATACTGCTGCCAGAGGGTAAATCAGAGAGAGATTTTATATCAAGGAGCTTAGAATTTAGTTGCGAAAATAACGTAGACACACAAATTAATAATCACAGATTGTAATAAATATCAAGAAGAAGAAGAAAAAAACATTGTGACATGATAGTGATGGGGTAAGGACTCTACATTAGACAGGATGGTCCAATGGGAAAGGATGCTCACTGAGCTGAACATGTAACCTGAAGAGTGACATAAGAGTGTGTCTGTGAAAAACAGATACAATCATTTCATTCAAGAGGAACAGCAAACAGAAAAGGCTGAAATTAATCTTGAGATGTTCAAGAAATAGAAAAAGGCTGAGGGGCCATAGTGGCTCATGCCCGTAATCCCAAGTCTTTTTGACGCCAAGGCAGGAGGAGTGCCTGAGTTCAGGAGTTTGAGACTAGACTGGGTAACATAGTGAGACCTCATCTCTGCATAAATATATAAAAATAAAATAAAATAAAAAATAATAATTAGCCAGGTGTGGTGATGCATGCCTGTAGTCCCAGCTGCTTAGAAGGCTGAGGTAGGAGAATTACTTGAGCCCAGGAGGTTGAGGTTGCAGTGGGCTATGATCACTGCCCTCTAGCCTAGTCAACAGAGCAAAACCCTGTCTATATTAAAAAGTAAATTAAAAAGACATGAGTGAATGAGGTAGACAATAGTATAAGATGAAATCAGATAGACAGGCAATTGACCATGGTAAGCATGTCAGACTTTCTTCAAAACACGGTGGAGGGAGGCCGGGCGTGGTGGCTCATGCCTGTAATCCCAGCACTTTGGGAGACTGAGGCGGGCGGATAACTTGAAGTCAAGAGTTCCAGACCAGCCTGGCCAACATGGTAAAACTCCACCTCTACTAAAAATACAAAAATTAGCTGGGTGTGGTGGCATGTGCATGTAGTCTCAACTACTCAGGAGGCTGAGGCAGGAGAATCCCTTGAACCCCCGGAGGCAGAGGATGCAGTAAGCCAAGATTGTGCCACTGCACTGCAGCCTGAGTGACAGAGTAAGATTCCGTCTCAAAAACAAACAAACAAGACAAAAACAAAAAAACAATGGCAGGGAGAGGGGTGACATACATGTACAAGCGAAAAGGTCACTGGGGCTACTTTATCTGGATAGCGGGTGGGGAGAACAGTTGAAAACGGAAGTGGAGGGGCAGTTAAAAAAAGTGTCAGTTTTTCAAGGGAAAGGATTGCAGTGACTTGGAACTGGACAAGAACAATGAAAATACAGATAAGCGAGTAAATGTGATATACATCTTGGAAGGTAAAAATGACCCACAGGCCGTCCTGTGCAATACATCCTCCTTCGACTGAAGCATGCCGGAAAGACTATTGTAAAGGATGCCATCAGGTGTGCAAACTCCCCAGCCCCTTCATTCTCTTCAGGCTCTCTGTTGCCAGCTCATCTGCATATGGCAACTTTCAGGAAATAATAGCTACTTGTTTCTTTGTGCAAAATGGTTTTCTGTTACATTTCACTGCACTTTATGGGAAAAGTTATATGGCCCAGTTATATGAATCAGGAATTCCTAGAAGTCTTGGACCGATCCTTTGCAACTGCTTACATCTGATTCCCAAATAGCTGTTACTTATGATCAATGTGAATCCCTTAAAAAATTAAGTAGTTCATAAAGTTGACTGGATTAACTCTAAATTTTTCCCAAGAATTTCCCGCCTTTTAAGAATAAGCCCAGAAGAACATAAAATGAGGCAAATAGAAACAGGAGAGACTGAGATTGAGAATAAGAGAATTAACTGCCTTCTCTTTAATGGGTTGCATTGTGGATATTATAAGCATTGCTATAGCCTGCATTTGGCCTCCAGTGTACAGAGAGCTTGCTTTTCTGAGGCTTCCTGCCCAGCACTTCATAACTTCCATTAATGTGAATTCACTTCTGCCACTTTATTTATTGCCCACTCTGCTTGCATTGCCAGGTGACATCTGAGTAGATCATTTTTTCATGTCTTCATTTACTTAAGCGATATAAAAATTAACCTCCTGTTAAAGAAATACCTTCTTCCCCATGAAATGAGGACATAAATTGATTTTTTTCCTGTGCAAAACAAAGACTTGAAAACCCTAACGTGTGTGTTTTACAGCCTGCATATGCCCCATCTCCATAAATTCTGACATATTATTCTGTCTCTTTAGTTAAGTCTGTTGCAAGGAGCATTTAAAAATCTTAAAAGGGCTGCATAGCTATTGCAAGGATATATTGAAAAAAAGTGGTGTGACATGACATCAGTGTTAAATTTCCATGACCCTGCAATGAAATGTCTTCCACCTGTGAAGCGCTGGAAGAATTAAGATCTATTGTTCCATTCCTTAATGTCTCCATTTGGAGAGGGTTTTAGTTTGGTTTAATTCTTATGTTGTGCACACTTTACATCTGAGTTTGAACAGGAGCAATTGCAGGGACAATTGCATTAGAATACCAAACATCAGTCCCGCTGAATTGCATGGTTCTTATACGATAGCACATCCGATGAATTTGGAAGCAGTCCCCATGCACACATTTTTGTCAGGTTCTCTTTATGTTTATTAAGAAGATTGGTTCCCTCAAATGAGAATCAAATCCAAATTTAAAACAGGTCATAACACTGCTTCTTATTCAAACCCCCATTTTGCATAACCATTTTCATTTTCTTTCTTTCTTTTTTTAAAGGAATGTGGCAAAAATCCAGTTAGATAGAAATGTGAGAAGAATACTAACTTTTAAAGAAAAAATAAGTTATTGTGGCTGTGGTTTTAGGAGGGTCCCAGGATGCAACTATGATATAATTTCATATTCTGGCAACCCTCAGTGTTACTGGTGGCTGCTGCATGGTTCTTGTACACACACAAATATGTATTTTTTGAGAAAATATTGAGAATGTTCTTTTTGTCATCTGCAGCACCCCAAGGGCCTTCTTTTACAATTGGAAAAGCTATATGGCTTCTTTGGGGCCTCGTGTTCAATAACTCCGTGCCTGTTCAGAATCCTAAAGGGACCACCAGCAAGATCATGGTATCTGTATGGGCCTTCTTCGCTGTCATATTCCTGGCCAGCTACACAGCCAATCTGGCCGCTTTCATGATCCAAGAGGAATTTGTGGACCAAGTGACTGGCCTCAGTGACAAAAAGGTAAGGTCACCTTGCTTTCCTCTCTGTCTGAGGACTGGTCTTAACTGCTGTCCTTTCAGGAGGAAGAGATTCAGGTGCTTCTCACTGAGATCCATCAACTCTAATGCACAAAAGCCAGAAGGGTTTTTATCTCAAACTGGCATCTTTTTCAAAGTTTTTGAAATAGAACCTTGAGCTTAGCTCTCCTAGGCCTAAAAGATTCCAGTTCTAGTTTGGAAGCATGGTTTTCCCAAGCGGTCATATTTTCTTTTTACATGATCTTTCTGATGATGCTTGTGAATGGCCTGTGACTCAAGTGCTTAGGTTGAAAATCATCCTTTTGAAAGTGTAATGTTGAGGAAGGCCTATTTGCCTAGATGAGAAAAGGGTGAAGGAGCACTTTAGGCTGTGGGTACCTTATCTGTGACATTAAAAAAGTCATCTCTAAGCCCTATCCAGAGACAAAATTATCTGACAGCTCCTCTTTTCTATACAGCCAAATCAGTCTCAGCATCAGCACTCCTGACTCACCTGAAATGTCTTCAAGGCACACAAAAGGAGAAGAGAGTTGTTGTTGTTGTTGTTGTTGTTTTAATTTCCCACTGCTTCCTTCTACTCAGATATATCACTAATCTTCCCTCATGGAGCTGTACTTCCCACATCACTAAGACAGGAGTAAAAACACCTGCTCTCTCATTCTCCACTGAAATGAAATGTAACAAGGGTTGCGGGGTTTGAGTAGCTATTCAGAGATGCACATTGAGGAAGAAAAGGGGTAAACTGGATGCATCCTCCTATTGAAATTTTAATTCAGGAAACACATCCTGACTTGCTAAGCTCAGCAAGTATTGAGATTGCAGCACTGCAAAGATTTTCTGTTCCGTGTGTGGGGGGATAATTTGTCTCTCATTATAAAACCTCACTATCATATCTTGTTGACACGAGTCTACATATATCCTTTTGGCATTCATCAACAAACTGCTGAATGGAAAATCAATCCATGGAAAGCTTTTACAGCTTATCCATGATACATACTGTGATTGAAAGAATCTTGTCAAGAGAGTTGATGAGGGGTCATTTCCACAAAGGCTTTGGAGTGGCTCACCTCTCCCTGATGGCTTCCAATTGAGGCTTCAGTGAGGGTCACCCTACTTACCATGGCACACAAAACTCTATGTTATCTCACCTACTCCCACATTTCCTTCCTCTTGCTCCATCCCTGTCACTAAGTTTACTTCCAACTCAGTCTCCTTGTACCTCTTATGCCCTCTGCCTAGGCTGTTCTTCCCCAGTCTTCTCATGGCTGGCTTCTCCTGGAAGACATGACTGACCTCTTCAGGAAAGTCTTTCCTGGATACTGTGATAAACTTGGCAGAATGAGTTCAGGTTCCCAAGAAACTTAAATTCTCATAGGAAAAAATAAACAATATACAAGTAAACATCAAGGAAGAAAGAAATCAGGGGCAGGAATAAATATTATAAAGAAGATAAAGCTGGGGAAAGAGAACCTCAGGGATATACTTTTGATAGAGTTATTTTACACTTAGGAAGTGCTCTGGACACCCTTGCTGGGTGAATGAATACATGCATGGTATAGTGGACACTATGCACACCCCACCTGGATCTCCTGGGATCCCTTTTGCAGCCATGTGTGCCCAGCACCACCTTTCCATGCTTTGCTGACAAAGCCTCGCTTCAGGGATCCTCAGTGGATTTTTGCCTTTGGGCACTGGAATGGTAAATGCCTGGCAATTTAAGTTCCCTCAAGCTTTGGGGTTGCCTGTAACCAAAGACTAATCAGTGTGAGAATACAAAGGCCCAGCTGCACCCCTGCTTTGAAGCAGGAAAAACTTTAAGGTATGATCACTCTCTGGAGCTCCCTGAAGACTGAGCTGAGATGGAGACTTGGCCTTAAATCAGACCCTTGGTTTTTCGCCCTTCTCCAATCTTTCCTAACTTTCTCCCACTCCCCTGCTGACTGCTCCTGGAACCCTTCACTAGTAAATCATGCTCACCACAAATTTTTCACTTGAGGTCAGCTACTGGAAGATCCCCACCTGAAGCACATGGTATCTCAGAAGCAGCAGATAACGCACTGTATTTAAAGTCAGAAAAGTCACGTTTCCTCTCTGCCTGTTTCCTCTCTGCCACTTGCCAGCTGTATGATGTTTTTAAAACCATGTCGCCTCACGGTGCCTGCTTAGTCTGCCCTGTAAATTGGGGAGTCACAATTGCAGTGAGGACGAAAGGGAACCACATATGTAAATGTACCTTGTAGCATATAAATCCCTCTGCAGATACGAAGGGCTGTTATCCAACTCCGTCGCATTACGGGATCAAAAGTGCAATTCCTAGAAGTGACTGGAAGTACAGTGGAAGCAGTAGGAAGCCATGTCCTGGAAGACAGGATTTTTCATAAAGTGGTTAGCAGCATATTTTGCTTTTTGTTGCTATTTTCAAAGGCAAGAGGGCGAAAGCCTTACCACATAGTTTTGGGTCTAAATAGCATGACCACTTGTGGGAAAACTAATTAAAAGACTAATAATTTGACTGACCTTCACTGACTTGGAAACATCCAGTAACAGATACCATAACCTCAAGAGACAGTTCCCATGCTCAAAGCATTAGAGGCAAGCTGATAGCTCTTTTAATTAAATGTTTGATATAATGAGATAAACAGCAAAATTCCTGGAGTAAATAAGCTAAATGCTCCCTGAAGATTAATAGAAGATATACCAAGAAAGTCTGCAAAATAAAAATCTATATTCAATCAATTTATTTTAATATTGAACACTGTGGTTGGTTTTGTTTTTGCTTTTTCTTTGTTTACCATGAATACCTGTATAACAACTCAGGTTTACAATACTTTTAAGCCATTAGTGCTTGCTGTGAAAGAATCATATTGGAGCCCATGGTGTGCTCAGATGAGCTGGGACTTGAATTATAAATAAGTGAATTCATGGGTAAGATGCTTCCCTAGGAATTATTAAGAGAAAATCAAAATGTTGATGGGGATGCTTTCTAAAATGTTGGGAATTACTCTGATAGAGGAAATCCTCAGGGAGGCAGATTTATGTTGTACTCTTCAGCAATATCATGTTTGGGGTCAAATGGACCTGGGTTCAAATCCTGACCTTGCCATATAATTGTCTGGCCTTCTGTATATCAATATCCCCCTAGGCTTAATTTCCTGTAAAAGAGAAGACATTATTTCCTTTCTGGCAAGGTTGATAGGAGGATTAGAAATAATCCTCACACCATGCCTGGCACACAGTAGATGATCCTGTAATGTGTTATTTCCTTCTTCCACCCTCCTCCTTTCCACTCCTCCCTCTCATTTCTCCCCCTCTCCCTCTTTTCATCTTCCTTTCTCCTCCTACACCTTCCATTATCTTCATCATTGCCCGACTCAAACCATTCTTGGCTTCTGGGGCCTGAAATGTTATTGCACTGAGTTGGTCTTTTGTGACAACCAATGGAGGGAATTCAGGGAACTTATTCCAGTGGATGAGCCCACAAATGCATTCTCAGGGAGCCATGCTGTCTCTGGGCACTGTGCTGCTGCCACTGAGTGGTCCCAGTCCAGGCAGCCAGGCCTCCTCCTAGCTGATCCTCTCTCTGCTCAAGGACACACCTGCTTGCTGCTCACATCAAGAAGCACGTGGGACTTCACCAACAGAAGACTGTACTAGAAATAGGGGCTCCAGTTGCCAGATGTCCCTTATTTACAGGCACAGAAGACAGATATTTTTAATAAATGTGTAGCTTTTGGTTCATTAAAAAAAAAAAAGGAAAAATGTCTTGGTTAATTGCTGCATTTTTCTGGAAATTTTATCTCCTAGTGTCACATCTCTACCTCCTCCATCACCAAATGCTTGCCATGTCTTAGTCACTTGGATGACCTTCAGACTTGCCTCCATATTGGATGAAAAAAAAAGTTAGAAACTAATGTTCTGTTCTCCAACCTGTAAGGAGACTAGCTGCATTATTTGGCTGAAATGATGTTTATAACAACAGGTGACCTATCCCAAGCATTAGAGGATGCCAGATGTTCTTTCAAACACTTTAAGATATGTTGCAAAAACAATCTCCAATTTACAGATAGAGAAATTGAGGCTCAGGAGCTTAAATGGCTGCCCTAGATTATGAATTTTTTTTTCTTTCTTTCTTCCTTTCATTTTCTTTCTTTTTTTATTTCCTTTCCTTTCCCTGTCTCTCTCTCTCTCTCTCTCTCTCTCTCTCT